ACTCAGGTACCCTCTGGAAGCACTGCAAGGCGGTAATTAGCGTGAGGCTTGTAATGCATTCCCCAGCCAGAAACACGGGTTGCTGTGGTCACTGGAGTCAGAGAGTGTGAAAAGGGGCTGGGGGGGGGGAGATAAAGAAAAACAGGTAACAGTGGGGAAAACACAGTGATATCCTATTTAAGTATCAAATATTAACATGATTACCACTATCAACTGAACTGTCAAATACGTATTATGGGAAAATGGTGATTAAAAAAAAAAATTCCCAATAAAATACATCATTGCAGTGGAGAGGATTAATGATGCACAGGAGATACCTCTGACACAAACGTGTACTTCCTAAATCGCGTTTGGCTTCATTTTGATTTTTAGAGAAATGATGCATTTAACATCCTGTCTGCAGATGATACAATTTTAAAACGCAACCACAACACCACAACAGCAATCTAAACCCTTCTTCTATGTTCTGGGAAGCTCTGTGCACGGCTCCCATTAAGCTTACCGGTAACTGCGAACTGTTAACATGCCTTAGTATGGTTTCAGCATTCCTAGGCAAGGCTAAGCAGCAGTCAGAAAACAATGATATCCCCAGGCCCACACTGTAGTTTCTCAAGCAGAGATTAAGCACGGTATTCTGCTCAACAAGCTCATCACTGTTAAGTAACTCATCAGAAAATAAAGAGGGAATTATCAAATGGGAATTGCCAAGTAATTAGTTCTCTGAAGCAGATGACATACAACTGTTAAAGGGAGGGGCTTCCCTGTTAGTCATATGTCAGAGTAGAGCCTACTAATCTGTAAATAAAAATGCATTTCATATGATTAGCGCGATGGGTTTTTAACCACTAGCGGTACATGAAGAATTAATTTGCAACTTTTTGTGCTGTAATAAGCCAGTGAGATTTTCTCCCTTTGCATACAATGAGTTTTCCAACACTGCGGATCGCCTGCTGTCTGACTGCCTGGGGACAGACGGCCATGCAGACAGGCTGCTACCAGGGAGGGGACGTGCTCAAGGGCTGGGGAGGAGGGTAAGTGCATTTACTATCATAGTAAGCGGAAAAGGCACTCCCTGCTCAGCTGCTCCACGTGACACCGACAAGGACGGCACCGACGAGAAAACGCTCCCTGGCACACAAATTCACAGGGATTAAGCCTGCTTTCTGTACTTAGCCTTCTCCGTTAAAGCCTGACTTTCTTCAAGAAGATCATCTCACAGAAACGTTCAATTTGCAAAACCTGAAGGGCCTTCATGCATGGGTACCTGACAAACAAAAATGTGGTAACGCTCACAACCACATTCCAGTACAAACAAGAAACACTTAAACTTCTCTGCTTTTTATAGACTGAAGAGTGAGCCAATAAACCCCTAAATCAGGCTTTCAGCTAGTCCCAAACAGAACTGCTCACTGCTAACTCACCAACAACTAAAGAAGTAATTACCAAACACACCAAGGGTAAGTGGAGGAGGGCATGTATGATGCTGAGGCCTGTACAGAACTACAGATCAGGGATGGCAATCACAGCATTTTGACCCTCAGCACATGCTCTAATATTTGCCCCATCAGCCAAAATATCACACTATAAAGTAATGCTAGCACAGGACAGATCTCCACAGCATATCACAGAAGGTGAATCAAACCTCAGGCACTGGCTTATATCACATTACCAATGAGAGCCTAGCACTTCCATCTAGACAAGTCACTGCAGCCAGCTCTGTTTATACTTCAGACAGTGTTACAAAACCTCCAGTCAATCTGACATCGGGCTACAGCAGCATCTGCTGAGGAAACAGCAGAGCAAAGTCAGAGCAGGGCACCACGGGGGTGATGGGGTAGGGCTGGGGAGGTGACCAGGCCTCATCTCCAACATCTGACACTGCATTCACGTCTTTTTATTCAATTTATCAAAGAGTTATTCACTCAGCCACAAAACAAACAATTAAAAAAAATTAAAATGATTTCTAATTACTCTCCAATTATACCTAGTTCACATCATCATTTCATTTGTGCTGTTAATGTGCTCACAGTCTCCACTGCTGCCTTCTTTTAGCCCTACAGCCATTGCAGGCCTTGATAAACAGCGTAAGAGGGAGGAAATAAAATCAGCCGTGATAAAGGAACACCGATATGGCAATCAAAAAATTGCCTTTGGACACACTAATATTGAGACCGATTACCTCTTTCTACATTCAGTAAATAATATTTTAAGAGGACAGACTGCTGTTCATTTACAGAGAATGGCAGCCAAAAGCCTGTGCAAAGCACAGCTTAGGCCTTCTGTACCTAACAGGTAGTGTGCAGATATACTTATGGAAAATTCAGCAATAAAAATTTACAAACAGGCTGTGGCTGCAAATTCAACCCGATACTACGACATGATTAATAGATATCAAGTGACTCAACAGTGAAAAAGATTGAAAAGAACACTCCAGTTATTCAAACATCCAGTGCCTCATGCAAAACCCTCTCGACACAACTGCTTAAAAGAAAGCATTGAGTCATTTGCCTGCGTGGAAGGAGGCAGAGCGAGTTCTGAACAAATAACAATAACTCAACATTTTTTAGCTCAGGCTAAAATTAACTGAAGTCAGGAATCATGGAAAAAAAAAAAAAAAAGCCATATCTCAACACATGTGATTTTATTTTCACTAATCCCAGTGTCCTCATTCAGGCAGTGAGCTCTGCAGACTCTGCAGGAAAGCTGCTTGAAGCCGAGCAGCAGGCACGCCTCAAGCTTACACACCGCAGCGGCTTCACTCCTTGCAGCCACACGCCTCCTTCTGTGAGTACAAACGCACGTGGGGGGGCACCAGGGCTGAAGCAGAGTCTCTGAGCTCTGATACTGGAGGTGCCAGGTGAAATAAGCATGCCTGATGTTCCATCCCTCGGACAGAACTCGTGGCGATAACCTGGGTCTGCACAGAACAGAGCAGGGCTGCTGATACTTCACCCCCCCGCCAAAAAAATGTGAGCGCTGGAAAAGATGCTGGGTCTGAGCATGCAGTGCTCGATCTCAATTCATGAAACCTATTTGTGGCTGATCACTGTGCTGCTCTGGGTCATGTTTGTTTCACGTGTTACTACTTTTGAGTTCCCTTCTGTTAAATCAAGCACTTGTAAGAGATAACGCTTGTAAGCAGGCAGTCGCTATCTCAGTAACTTTCTCTTTACTCATACAGTAGGACTGATTTTGATCGATCCCTAGAGAAAATAAGCACTAACTAACAAGGCCAATAGAGGAACCCACGCTCAGTGACTGAGACAGCACGTCCAAGAAAAGGAGCTGAAAAAGATCTGATCTGAAGGCCAGAAGACAACGCTGCATTTCAAACTGCACTGATACTGAAAAAAAGCAGCACAGTCCTGCCCTCCTCTCACGCTGTAACCGAGACAACTGCAGCAGACTTAACTAGGTTATTTCTTCTTTAATCCAAACTGTTCCCAACACGTAACATACTTTTTCTCATGCCATCGCAGGAAGTGCCAGATGCTAAAATATTCTAAGTGATTTAGAGATACATTGCGGGTAACTCACACGGGATTCAACCAATACGCTTTAAATCGTTTCTTCTAGTTAAGAGATAGAAAGCTGTCCTGTGGTAATTGTCTGTGCAAATAAATACAACTTCATAAAACCTGTGTCAGTTCTGAAAAAAATGAAAGGTTTTGTGAAAACGTCGCTGTCAGAACAGAGAGCTCCCTTCTATTTGATCTCCCGAGCCCACAGCAGCTACCCAGTCAGTTCTGTCCCAAAAGTGAAAGATGAAATGTGTCAGTGCACAGGCACTTGGGCTGGCTGTTCAACCAAAAATCTCCTATTGCTCTGAAGGGGCATAGAGCCCATCAGTCCACCCCCACTACTCCAGCTCATCTGTAAACCCTAAGAGGCATGTCTTTACATGTAACGGCTTGCTCAGACAACTTCCCTTTACAGCACAGCACCCTACCCCACAGCCATAATAAAATGTAAATTACGTGCCACACACCTCTCTGACATGCTGCACATATTAGAAAGTTATTCTGCAACAGAGACTTTCTGGACAACCCCTCATATGTAGAATGCTATAGTAATGGAGTTTTCTGGCTGCATAAAGGGGAAAAAAAAGCACCTTAACTTCTGCAAGTAATTGCTGCATTTAATTTTCTTTTATTCAGAGACGTCACATTTTTTTATGACTTTTGTCTTTTTTTTCCCCCCCAAAAAAGTATTAGTAGCATTGCCAATCTGAAGCACTCAAAAATCATGAAACAGGTCCAGAAAACCAAGCTGGCTTAATGACAATCAGATTAAAGAAATAAAATAAAAATTTATGTTCTTTTTATTGGCAATACGATTGTTGAGCCCTTAAACTTGGTTCTTTCAAGGTATTTCCCCCAGCCACACAAGAAGGAGAAGTAAGAAAGAGGAGAGGGAGCTGAGCGTGCTACTCCATCCTGTCTGGTTCCAGAACTTCGGGGAAAAAAGTCAGAAGAACTGAAAACATTCCTGAAACTGGAGTAAAAGACACTCGAGCACATCACTAGTGACCAGCTATCTGGGAAGCATCCTCATGCCAGGCAAAGTTAAGTGCTTAAGGGAAATCAGGATACTGAAAAGTCAAACGAGCTGCTAGGAACAAGAACTGCTAAAAATGTTCACAAAAGCACGGGGAGGATTTATAATAATTATACTTGTGGTATTAACCAACAAAAAAATCAAAGACTGTAAAACTTTTCCATTCGTGCTACAATCTTTAGTAACTGCATATACTCTGACCTGAGGTATACATAAAACCACTCATCTGGAACCCACTGTCCTGTCAGTCACCCAACTGAGTCACCAGAGCTAATGGAATTTCTATGATGAGTTTCTCCAGGAGCTCTACTGCCAGGCACGGGAAGTACAGACGTTCTGCAGGTAGATAACGGCACGGACTGCATTCAGGTGCCTGTGCTGACCAGAACCTGCTGCAGACAGTGCATGCTTGTTAGACAAAAGAAAAGGCAGCACTTCCTCACCTTACTGACAGCGCATCTCTGTACGGCAAAGATGACGGTGAAGGTGGTCACTGTCCTGCAGGGGTCAACAATAAATTCACAGCTTGTATTGCTCGCCCGTCTGGTTCGGCCTGCGGCGTGACTGGAGGTCCCAAAGTTGAGGAGGTGGGAGCCAAAAGAAAACAAAGCAAAAACACAGGTAAGACTCAAATGGCAGCACCCTAAGACACTCTAATGAAGCCTGAGCAGTTGCTTTGCTATTACTCAAGCACAAATAAACTATAGATTCAGTCTCGCAGACAGCACACATACAGCACAGAATGTAGCCCACATATTCCAACAGAGTGCTCTTTTCCTACATGTGATCTTGACGAGGTGAAGAACCATAAGCGAGTCGAGCTGACTTCAGTGCCAGCAGAACTGGCTTGTGCTGTATCTGAGGAGGGGCACCACTCAGAATACTGCTGCAACTGCTGCCATTGGGTGAATGCAGTCAGCCAGGGGAACGTGGCGTTACCTTGTCCTTAACAGCAGCACATCAGAGCCAGTGCACAGTGCTGCAAACGCTCAAACAACGTAAACAGCAGCCAATGCTGCCAGCATGGTTCTTTTTCTTCTATTTCTGAATTTTCTTCAGTAAAAATACTGAGAGCAACAGCACTGACATTCTGTTGACATCACATATTCAACAAAATATTTTTTTTTCCCCCCCACTTGGAATCCTACCAAATATTTTTATCACTCTTGGGACAATAAAAGGATTTAGTGGGACCATTTCTCCCTCACTGAGAAGCACTTTTGTTGTTTCAGTTTATGAGCACGCTGACTCGTCCCTACCCTATTTATGGAAGGATTTACACACATACTTAACTCCAGATAGATTCTTTAATCAATCCTCATTCAGCAAAACCCTCGCTGGGACGTGTACTAAGGCAACTTTGCAGACTGGGACCAATACACACACACAGATTTGCATGTGTTTCAGAGCCATCTCAGACTCCAGCTTTTAGGGGAAAAACAGAAAGCATCCAGCATTACCCTCTCAGTGTTTGCAGGGGGATCAAAAAGTAATTACAGCCATAGATCCAGTTTCTGCCTTTCCACAAAAGTTGGGAGACTGCAAAGTTTCTTCCATTTAGAAGCATCCATCACCAATCAGCTAAGCCAAAACCGTGTAAAAAAACTTCAGCTCATAAAAAAATGCAAACCACCGAACAAGATGCACGTATGACATCAGATTCCAAAATGCTGTGCCTCTGACCGAGTAAAACCGAATGAGATCAGGATTTCTGGCTTGCAAGCTCAGGCTAAGCATACAACTTCCTACAGAGCACTCACTGGAATACAGCACGTCGTTTCAGCAAACTGCAGCATTTACCTGTGCCAAGCCTGTCAGACTGCTGCCTCTTCAGCTAATTGTGTTGGTATTTGTTATAGCAGTCGGTACCGTACCTCCGAGGAGACCTACAGCTCCATCTGCCACCCGAGCCGTGCAGAGCACCCAGACCGTACCTGTGCAGTCCCCACCCAGCCTAGTGTGCCCACCAGGCAGCCCTGCCGCACAGCCCTGCACGCAGCCAGCGCTGCAGCCCCTCGCCATTCTGACACGCGTTTGCTTTAAGCCCCGCTGCAGTTCTTCATCGCGTTTCCCCTCAATTAGCACACCACAACAAAAGCCAGCGCCGCACCAGCAATGACAACGACAGTCCTCGCTGCCCTCTACTCAGACGTGCTGCTGAACTTCAGCACGGGGAGAACCAGGCCTTCGTTTTGCTCAGCTAGGCATGGCACTGAGACCATCACTTTCACATCCTAATGTTTAAATCAGCAGTTGCTTTTCAGGTGAGCACATTTAACGTCTATTTTCTTAATTAAGATGAAACTAGGCCACTGGATCTATTACATAAAAATGTTGGTGAAGTGAAATTCCAGGCCTCTTGTAAATGTCTCTTAAAACAAGACCAGTTCCTTCAGCCTCTCTAAGTAAATCAGACCAGGCCAGGGAGAAGAGCTGCGTCTTGTACTTGCAGGAAGTCTCTTAACTACACACAAACGGCCTTTTCGAAGTAACTGTTTTGCTGTGCTCTGTCACACGGTGAACTACTTCTCCATGGAGCACGTCACCAGCAACACCGGGCATGCAGTGGCAGCTCGACAGCAACCGTGCTGCGAGCGCTCACCTTCTGCTACCACTCCTCTCCACGGGCTGCCCTCCTTCCAGCCCCCTCGGCACGCAGAGGAAGGCCGTTCCCACCAAAGGCAGGCATTAGGATCGAGCCCCGGGCACAGAGGGCCGGTCAGCACAGCCCACGGGCTGCCTGAGAGCTCCGGTGCTGCACCGCGCTGGCAACTTCTCCCCACCGAGATGTGAAACGCTCCGGGCTGCGCTCTGTAGCAGCGTGGATGCACGTGCGGTTAGCAATGGGAGTCATTCACCGCTCTTGCACGTGGCTAACGCGGCTCCTCCAGGGGGCAAAACTCCCACGGTGCTTTTTGCCGTAGAAAGATATTGGAGAAACGATGGCTCAGGCAGCGGATCAGCGCCTGAGCTCTGCTACTCTGCTCTGTGCCTGGCCGAGGTCCAACAAGCGGAGCTACCCCAGATACACACCGTGTGCGCGGCTCACAAGCAGCCCCTGGAGCCGCTCCAGGCCCACGGCATTAGGATCGAGCACCAGATTGGGCGCCTGTGTGCAGGCAGCGGGGGGGAAGGCCGGCATGAGATCTTCAGTTCAGCGCTCCCGGAGGGCGGCACGCAGCGCGGAGCTGCACTGCCTGCTCTGTCACGGCGTTACGCTGTCTGAGGCGGAAAGTTTCCCACTCTATTACTCTGCTGTATTTCAACGAGCACCAATGCGAAATAAAATAAATCGGAATACCAGCAACGAGTTGTTTGCCGATAAGAAAATCTTTATATCGTACGCCCCTCGGTTTTTTTTTTAACCGAGGGTGCAGGAAGCCAGCCGTCCCCCAACACACAGCTCCTTGCTCAGTCACGCAGCACCGAGCATTCCCACCGGTAATGTCACGGCTCGGCGCGGGACGGCCCCGCGGCCTACGGCGGACGGGCGGGGAGAGGGGAGCAGCGGCGAAGTTTTCGCGCGCCCGCAGCCCCCCGAGCACCGCCGCCCCTTCCTCCCGCAGTCCGCACGCGGCACGGGGGCGGCCGGGCACACGGCGCGCGCACACCTGAGCGGCCGGGGCCGTCCGTTGCCATGGCAGCGCGCTCACATCGCTCGGCGGAGCGGGGCCGGGCGGGTTCCGGCGACGAGGGGCTGCGAGAAGAGCCCGGGACCGCGCGGGGGAAGGGCCGGAGGCGCGGCGCGGCGATCCCGCGGCGGAAGGGCTCGAAAGCGAAATTAAAGGCCCTCAGCGTGCCGCTGTACGGACGCGCTTTGCCCCGCGCACGGAGGGGCTCGGCGTATCCCCCCGCCTGGCTCGGCACGGCTGCCCGCGGAGCGCCTGCTGTGCAGCCAACGGCACCCAAACAGCCGTGGCTCCCCGCGCCGAACGGCGCATTATATAACGGCTTCCGACTCGTTTGCTCCTCCGTTAGCGCCCGGCGGTAATTCCTCCTCTGCCGCCGCTCCGTCACGTTATTATCGCTATCACAGCGGGCGCTGACGTTTCCCAGCGCCTTTAATTCAGACTTCGGTACCCCCAGGAATCGCGCTCGCGAATCGCGGCCCTACCGGGGCTGAGGGGGGGATATCGAACAACACCGACCCGACCCCGAGCTCCGGTCGGCGCCGGGGCCGAGCGGCGGTGCCCCGCGGCCCTCCCTCCCGCGCTCCCCCGGCGGCGGTACCGGGCGTTGTCCGCGGGCGGCCCGGGCCCCGGGAGCGGCGGCGCGGGGTGGCCGCCGGGCACAGCCCCGTCCCAGCGCCGCCTCCTCCTCCACCGCCCGCTCGCTTCATTCACCCTCAGCGGCCGCCCAGCCCCTACTACATGCGCCGTGCGGCCCGGCCGCGGCCCCCCCGCTCCCACACACACACACACACACACACACACACACACACAGGGGCCGTGTCAGCACCCCGTCACGCACCGCACCGCCACACACACACACACGGGTACAAACACACGCCCCGCAAAATGTCCACCGCGGCCACCGGCGGGGTGAGGAAGAAGGGAGGAGGAGGAGGAGGAGGAGGAGGAGGTGGAGCGGGAGGGCCGTACGAGCCCCGGGCCCAGGCCGCTGCCCTCGGCCATGTCGTGGCCCCCGCCCGGGCCGGGCCCTGAGGCTGGGCCGCAGCGCTGCCCCCCCCGCACACACGCACACATACACGCACACATACACATATATACACACATACACACGAACACAGCCGCCCCCGGCCCCGTGTTTTTCCAGCCGGGAACCGCGGGTGGCTCCGCAGCCCAAACAAGGGGAGAAACCGGGGGGGAGGAGGAGGAGGAGGAGGAGGACCGGGGGGGGCAGAAAGCAGAGGAGGAAGAAAAAGGCACTTACTGTAAAGTGTCAGTGGAGGTGGGGCTGGCGGGGGGGTCGGACCGAGACTCGCGCACCGCCGTCCTCCCGAGGTGGGGGTCTGTGTGTGTGTGTGTAAATGTGTGTGTGTAAATATGTGTGTGTGTATATGGGCTCCTTCCCCCGCGGGTACACGCTGCGGGCCGCTCCGCCGCTGTAGTAGAAATGATGTCTGCGGTACAGCGCTCGCTGCCGCTCCGCTCTCCAGTATGTAAATGTGTAATAGAAGCCAAATATGGAGCAGTTGGCTGCCTCTGCAACAGCTCAAGGATCCTACTTCACGCGAAAGCCGGGGGGGGGGGGGG